GACACATAGTATAGAAACATAAGAACAATCTGACAATATCAAAATTAAAGATTTCTGTTCAATAAAGGGCAACATAGGTAAAGTGAACAAAGAGGTTAAAAATTAGGAAAATATATTTGCAATATCTAAAACCAATATGAGATGAATAATTAAAATATTTAAGAAACCTCTACAAATTAATTAAACAAAGGTTAGAAATTCAACAGGAAAAATGAAAGGCTATAATTAATCATTTCATAAAGTTATAAACCAGAATAGCTAATAAATAATTATGTATAGAGATGAATAACCTTATTTATTTATTTATTTATTTATTTATTTTTTCCTTTTTGTCTTTTTTCGTGACCGGAAACGGATCGCAACCCTCAGTGTCGCGCCCGCACCGGACTGGGACCGGCAACGGGACTGCAACCCCTGGCGTCGCTCCTGCACCTCGCTCAGCCAGTGAGCGGGCCAGTCTGTATGTGGGATCCGAACCCTTGGCGGGAGCGCTGCCGCACTCTCAAGCGGCGCACTGTAGCAGTGCGCCACCGGGCCGGCCCTGAATAACCTTATTTATAATCAGAGTAATGTGAATTAAAAGAACAAGAAAATGGTTCGATGGGTAAAAATAATTTCAAATGTTGGTAAAAATATGAGGAAAGAGGCACATCATACACTGTCAGAGTATAAACTGCTACAGGTGGGATCCTGTGAAATTAAATATTCGCCATAACCCAGCAATCCCATGCTTGGCTTACTGTTCACCCAGGAATCCTCACAAGCCCATAGGGAGACTCTGACACTGTTTGCGGTAATGGGGATTTAGAGGCAAACTACATGTTTCCACTACGAAAATGGGTAAATTATTTGTGGTGTGCATGTAAGATGAAATAATATGCCACAGTGAAAACAAATGAACTACCCAAACATAAAGCAACATGGATAGATTTTGAAAAGACTGTTGACTGAATATATTAAGAAATGAAGGGAGACCTAAAGTATAATCCTATTTATGTAAATTTAAAATACATCAAGTGCAAAACTAAGCCATGCGTTTTCAAGAACACATACGTATATAAGGACATAAATACAATAGAGTAGGTGGGGAATGAGGAAGAGAGATGGAATTGAGAATAAGAATAAGAGATGAAAAAATAAAATAAATGACCTCATGTGGACCCATAATGCTAGTGTGCCTTAGCTGAAAAATAAGCCTAAATGACTTCAATACACCTACGATTTAAAATATATTGACACTTCATTTTCAACTTTTTTGTCCCCTATTTCTATTTCATGTCAATTATGTAATAAGTACTTTGATTGCAAGCATTTTTGCTATGTGCCAATTTTTAATGAGAATTTTTTTAGTATACCATTAAATATGTTTACTGTTCATTTGAAATAAATTTCATACAATCAATAGAAAATATTCTTCAATTCTAACTTCGTGAGACTTGCAAAAATTAAAAGTTAATAAATCAAATACATTTGAAAATCATAGAAATAATATATATTTTTTACCTTACCTAATAAAAATATGGCATTACCTGATATCAAATCATCCTTATGTTTTTACAAAAAATTCTAACTGATTGGTGAAGATAGATTTTAAAATATCAATTCAATTCTAAATACAAACATTTTACTTAGGATTTTTTCAATAATAGTTAAGCCCTTTCTTCTCTATTAAGTTATAGTCCAATATATTCAACTATCAGCTAGCAACTTATTGTGAATATATCCTAGGCAACTCAAACTCAACATATCCAAAATTGAATTTACTTAATGTTAAGTCTTATATTAGAAGAAAGATCTTTTTAAAAGATACTAATAAATTATATTTAACCTCCTCAGATTTAACATTCTCACTGCTATGGCATGAATGTCTCTTCCAAAATTTAAGTGTTGAAACTTAATGGCAAATGTGATGGGATTAAGAGATGTGGCTTTTAAAAAATGATTAGGCCATGAGGGCTCCTCCATGAATGGGATTAAAGCCTTTAAGAAAGAGGCTTGGGCCGGCCCGGTGGCGCACTGGATAGTGCGCCGCTTGGGAAGCGCAGCGGCGCTCCCGCCCGAGGGTTCGGATCCTGCATACAGACCGGTTCCCGCTCGCTGGCTGAGCGAGGCGGGAGCAACACCGAGGTTTGCAATCCCGTTGCCGGTCCCCGGTCCGGTGCGGGGGCCGGGGGCAACACTGAGGGTTGCGATCCGTTGCCGGACACGGAAAAAAGACAAAAAAAAAAANAACCTCCTCAGATTTAACATTCTCACTGCTATGGCATGAATGTCTCTTCCAAAATTTAAGTTTTGAAACTTAATGGAAAATGTGATGGCATTAAGAGACGTGGCTTTTAAAAAATGATTAGGCCATGAGGGCTCCTCCATGAATGGGATTAAAGCCTTTAAGAAAGAGGCTTCACTTTTAGTATTTGATCTGCATGCCTTTCTAACTTCTTCTGTGTGAAAACACTGTATCTTTCCCCTCCTGAAGATACAGCAACAAGATGCCATCTTGGAAGCAGAGAGCAGCCGTCACCTGACACTGGAAACTGCCAGTGTCTTGTTCTTGGACATCCCAGCCTATAGAACTGTGAGAAAATAGATTTCTGTTCTTCATAAATTACCCAGTCTGTGGCATTTTGTTATAGAAGCACAAGTAGACTAAGGCACTCACCAAATGCAAAGTATTGTGTGAGAATCAGGGGATTGATTATAAAATTTCAGATGATACTCATGCACAGTTTATTAAGTAAACCAAAATTTTCTAGAATGGACATTCATGCTCTTCACTTTGAAATGAAAATATCTTTATTCAAGCCCTTTCAAAATTAATCAATGTTACACAACTATAATAAAATACGTAGGATATTCATACAATGGCAATTACTCAGCAATAAAATGAAACAAACTACTGATACATTTTAAAATATAC